CATCATCTAATGTGAGATCATTATTGATCGACAGATCCCACGTGATATTTGGAGTTGCAATTTCTTCCGCTGACAATATAAGGCTGCTTCAACAAATAGTTTTGTTTAACATTAACCTTCCCTCTATTTTTCTAAAAATTTAGATTTAAACAAACATTTACATATCACGTGATTTCATTAAAAATATAACGTAAATAGATTTATTTGAAAATTTGTGTTATTTATTAAGAATTTTTTTATTAAAAGATCAAAATTATACTAACATTATTATGTATAAATCATGCACTTTTTCTTTTTTTTGCTGATTCTCCAACTTTTTTTTTATCCTATGTATGAAAAGAATGACCTGAAAGTTGACAATTAAAACAAAGTGGATATACAGATTGATATCTATTAAGCAAATCATCACTTGCCTCTACTAATGAATTATTTGTATCACAATAATAACAAATAGGAGATTTTTTTAAACGGCTTGAATAATAACTACTTTTAATTGAAGAATCACAGCTAAGAGATTGATGAACAAAATTATATTTTTCAACTTGTGTGAAAGTGATATCCATTTTTCCATTTTGCAAGTAAAATCAGTATCATCTATTTTGAGTTGTAATACAGACATCTGCTTTTTTTTCAAGGCATTTATACTATAAATACATCAAATTTTTTCACAAAAATCACATTCAACAAATTCTCGAACACAATTATTATTAAAGATATCCTGTGGTAAATTATCAGCTTCTAGTTATCCCACTTTACTTGAACAAAACTTTCAGATGTTTGAGTACCATATACACTTAAAAAATCCTTATAGTGATCAGGATTAGCTAAAATACAAATATTCAAAGATGTAATTAGTATTTGCATGCTTATAAAATAATATATCAAAAAATTGTATAATTCTTACCAATAGACGGTTCAGGATCAGGCAAAAAATGCAATTCATTAAATATCTCAATTGGTAATTCACTGGCAAACAGATAGCATACTCAATATTATTGCATTTCTTAATCTACAGAAATTACAGTTTTATAATGAATTTCAAATACAAAGGGTCGGTATACAAAGCATTTATTTTTATTTAATATACTTGAAATGAATATTGTCTGATTTGACAATGCATATCAATAAATTCTTTTAATTTGAGAAATTTTCTTAATTCTACTAGTGTTGTATCATTAACTGTAAGTTGACTTTCAACTGATAATATAGACTTGATATAGTATGCGTAATATTAATTTAGTAATTAACAAAAATAAATTTAAACAAAATATAAAAAATATCTTATACCTCAAATAAAAAATCAATTTCAGATTCTATAGCAGGAGAAGCAATTTTGAATTTTAAATCATGTAAAAAAAGGTGTAAAATATGGTTTTCAAGGAAGTCTTAGGTAATACTAATTGATTCAATAAGCTCTTCTTTTAGATTTACATTAAAATTAGCTTATTCGCAGATTTCAGATAAATTTTTAAGCTTATCAAAAGCTTATTCTGATAATTCGCTCATAGATTCTCATTTTAAAGTAACACCTTACAAAGCAAGGTTTAATATTGATATTATGCATTCAGCTGGATTAGCCTAACTGTGATAAGGTGCAGTTCGTATAGCAGCTAAAAAATCAAAGTTACCTTTTAAAAATAAGGCTATTAATGATATTTGAACAGATCCATAAATGCATCAGTGATCTGGACCACCATCAGTATATAAAAGTAAAATTTTGGATTTGTTAATATTATCTTGATATTGAATAAAATAATTATTATAAAACTCTGTTACATGTTGTATAGCAGAACTTGGTTGAAAAATTGTATCCTTATATACTATATATACTTGACCCTAGTAAAATGAATCAGATATATTATTTGGAATATTAACAAATAAAGAAGCTAAAAAAGTTAAAGATAATTTTGTAAAATCGTAATCGCAAGAACTGAGTATTCTATCTACAGGAACCAAGGTTGCTTTATTTCTAACTCCTGTTGAAGTAGCAACAGATTCTCTAATAGGAACTTTGTGTTTATCATCAGCATAAATTATAGTTGTAAACTCTTTAAATTTAATAGAAAATTTGTATAAATATCTCTAAAGTGTAGAACAGTAATGTGAATCAATATGAAACTTTCATATTTGATGAGCCTGAATCATATATCAAATTTAAAATCTGCTAGTATATCGATTTTCTGAAAATTCTATTTTTGGCCAAAATTGTAATTGCATCCATTCAGCTGAAGGTATTTCAATATCATTTGGAATAGCACTATACTTATTTTCTAATTGTTCAATTATAATTTGCATCAGATCCTTAACGGAAATAGCAATTGGCATATATAAAATTGAAGTATGTCATCGATCATGAACTGCAGGTATAACCTTTTAAAATTTTTAAAGATACATTGTAAATATTTTATAATATAAATCCAAGATTATTATTCAGAATTATTACCTCATTAAAATAATTTTGCATTTCATTCTAAAAGACATCAAGTTTTGTTCCTTTTTCACCAATAATTTTATGAAGATCTATAATGATATCAGGATCCTAAGTATCTAACATCAATTTTATTCATTCATGTGTTTTCTTATTAATTTTATTCTTTGGTGTTGATATATCGCCTGTTAAATCTTGATATAGTACTTGCAAAACTAAACGTGATGTTTTAACTATTAAAGAATTCTATTATATATAATAATATATTTAAGTTCAATAAATGTTTTATTACAAAAAATTTACAAATAAAATAAACCTTATTTATCGCATTTTTTCACATTTGTCTTGTATTATAGATTGGAATTTAGTCATATACTGCAGTGATATTTTTTGCTTCTCGTATCTTATCACAGTTATCCAAACAGGGAATTTTCTATAAAAAGTTTAATGTATCAAGATAATTATTATGATAATAGTGATACAGTGTAAAGGATATATCAGCACATATTTTTTGAAAAAAGAGATAGGTATCTTGTGGCTTAGAAAGAAGTAAATAATTTATATTCAAAAGATCATAATCATTAGACTCATGAAGAAGTTGTGCTAAAGATTCATATTGAGGTAGATATAAATCAACAGCTTCAATATCCTCAACTATAATATCATCACATCCATTTCTTATTGGAATCAGATTAGTATGTATAGTACGCATTCTATTATTAACATCTTGAAGATAATTAATATACTCTTGAGCTATTTTTATTAGATTATGAATATCTTTAATCACTTCTTCCCAATGTGATAGACTTGTCCAAGATTGTTGAATAGATAAAATCAATGCTTTAATAAATGATTCAAGTTTTTCTCGTGATATTTCATTTTTTTATGTTTCATAGTATCATAGTAAAATTATAATGACTTTCAGAAGTATATACAGAAAGTTTTGCTATAATTATCAGTAGTTTCAAGTTACGTTTCTCCAATTTGCTAAGATAAGAATCTAAATACTATACTAAATCGGTAACTCTATAAATAAAAGAATGTCTAATAATCATATAACTATTATTCAGCTATCTCAATTTCCTTTCTTGCAAAACTTTTAAAAAATCATTATAGAGTACATCTGTATGAAATTGGGTATTACAAGGTAGCAGAAGTTTTTTTAGATGCTGTTACACTATTATGAGATCAAATGCTGAAATTCTTTTATTTGATAACTCATCAGGATTATTTGTTATTGAATCTATTGTAAAACAGACATGCTGCACCTTCAATTGAGAATATGCTTCCAAATTTTCATTAAGACCACTTAATATAGGCTTTAAATAAACTGTTCACTAATTCTTTTTTGGCACACTTTTTTTTTGAACATATGGTAATTTTTTCAAAGTTTTTTTTCAATATTTTTTTAAAATATGTATTTGTTTAATAAAAAATGATTTTTTTTATTAAACCTTAGCATAATGTGCACTTTTTGATTGATAGACCTAACCGGAATTGTATTATACTCTTCAGTGTAATAAAGCTGTGAATAACTGTAAAGTTCAGATTCTATTAGATAGATATTATACTAACGAACAAGAGTAAGTTTATATGACTTTTTGAATGACTCCTGAAAAAATTTAAACAACAATAACAATTTTTTTAAAAAAATATGTAAAAGATAATGAAATAAAAAAAACTTTATTAATCTTTAAAATTTTACTTACTTTTCTTTATTAAACCCTATTATTAAAATTATATTAACTTTAGTCCTTCGCTAGAATTACTGCAATATTACTGAACTATTCTTTACTCTAAAATTCTCTTACTATCCTTAATATCTTGCTACTTTTTAGATGAACTTAGTCATTTATTTTGATATAAAATTTATCACTTTCTGATTCTTGTGAAGATGTATCTAAAAAAAATATTGAGTGATGAAATTACTTATGATAATCCTTCAAATAACTTTTCTGATGATTGAATTCAATTCTCTATATTTCACCTGTATAACATTAAAAATATTAGTTTATTTTATCATTCTAATAAAATTTTGATTAAATTTTTTTAACTAATATTATTTACTAGTTTTCACATAACATCCTTTCTGTTTAATGTCTGGTAAGAATTTTTTACATAATACTTATAAAGTGTTTCATATGTTTCTGTTGATAAACTATTTAATGCTTCATATTTATGAATGGTAGAGACTAAAAGAAATATTACAATAAGATAGAAAAACTAATTCATAATTATTCAACCTGAACTTATCTGTGTAATATCACTAATTATATAATTTAAGATAGTACATTCTATTATAGACAAAGAAAAAAATAACCTTTTAAATTCTATATACTAATTGACAATTGTTTCCTATTTTGTTAAAAAGAAACTTATTAATATTTCAAAAATTTACTAATTTAACAATATACGTTAACAATTACCTCAAATTTTTTTAGATCTTTTTCAGTATATGACTTCTGTTTACTTATTATATACATCTTACCAAATTTTATATAAACTTCACAAAGCTCGTTATAGCTTATTTTGTCCTATTCATTAAAAATATCATCTAACATAAAGAGGTAATTTTCATTATATAGTGATAATCAGCAGTAGTAATTATTTTTAGATAGCCTAATTTATTTATAAGTTTTAATTTGGGAAAATGAGAAATTTGGTAAAAGCATTTATCAAATTCTTTTTGCAATATTACTCCTCTAACTTCTTTCAAAATATCTTGAGTAAATTCTAGTTAATATTTGAAGAGGCCAAGATTCATATAATGCATGTGGTTAGAAAGGTAAATCTCATAAATATTTATATTTCTGCAAAAAAATAATGAATTAATTCATGATTAGTTTAAATAATTTATTTAAATAGTAATACTTATGAAAATTTCTAGAACGCATTTTTGGTAGAATGCAATGAATAATCCTTTTCTTTCTCATTATTAATTGCTTGCTTCATGTTTTGATATATTCTAAGAGAAGCTAGATCTAGATCCATTTTATTTAAATGTTCCTGTAAAACTATACATATATGATACAGCATTTTGCAACACGCTGATTATATGTAGTAGTTATCTCATCTGCTTCAAGTATATCTGCTAAGAAAAATGAAATTTGCATAGCAAAAATCATTTTATGTTCTCTAATTTTAAAATGTAATGTATCAGACTTTTCTAATAAGAATCAAAACATTATATTGAAATATTTATAGAATGTTTCGCATTGAAAGAATTGAAAAGTTTTAGTTATTTTAATTTCTGAATCTTGGATTTTTGGTAGAAATCCTAGAAAAACTTTGGACTCCAATAAGTTTTGAATCCAATTTAGAAGATTTCTAAATGTTAGAAATACCAGATGATCAAAACTCTTTTCAAGTTCATTAAGGGTAATCACGTCTAAATATAAAATAATAGACAATAAGTAATTTAGAGGTGAAAGATTTTTCTTTGTTTTCAACTACCAATCACCTTTATATAGTTCTTCAAATACTCTTGTTTCATTCTGATAGAATATTCAATTAAAAATAATAGAATATTATAACTGAAAAAATCAAGAAGGTCTTTTATTGATACCTTAATTACAGATATTTTATTTAAAGTGTAACTTACTGATTCATATTTTAAGACTCCTTTATAAACACAGTTATTTGCTATTTTTAGTCATTATACAAAAGCTTGAATCGCATGAAAAATTAGACAATAATAGAGTTTAAGATTAACTCTAAAATAAATTGTTACAATTTTTTCTTTAAAGTCTAATAAGGTGAATTTATTTAATTAAGATAATCTTTATCACTTTTTGTCAAATATGACAATGGAAAATCTTTCAAATTACTATGTTTATTGAAGAATTTTATAATTTTATCTCTAATCTTATTAGAGATATTACCCTCTATTATAAATTCCATAAAATAGCAATATGCATTATTCAGATATTCTGTTATATATTCAAGCTTATTTTTCCTTTAATGGTATCTAATGCATCATCTAATGTTGCTCCCTGGAGATCTTTAAGATCAAAATTATCATTTTTGACATTTAATAATAATTGTAATATTTTATTATTCTTATCATCACTTTTATCACTTTTTTCATTATCCTCATTATTACTCTCTTTATCATTTTCTTTGTCATTTTTCACAATGTTATTCAATTTCATATTCTGTACTTAGGTTTATGAATTATCACTTAATTCAATTTCTGAAATTTCTTCATCAGAAATAATTAGCAATGACATTATGATTAACATATTTCATAAATTTTCATTATATATTGAAATTTAATAAAGTCATTGAGACTGCTACTTCTAAATATTTTTATATATATGGAAAAGTGAAATTCTTCTATGATGTATTATATGAGTATGTTGTGTTAATCCAGAATTGCTAGAAAACTACCTTTTACAAATATCACAATAATATCTAACCATATCTAAATTTTTCTTAATTATTTACAGAAATTCAGAAATTAACAGAAGAAACAACTTGCTATTATTTATATAAAGCTTTGTATTATTGTATAGTAATAAATCAATCACAACTATAATATAATTATAACTAAGGTATGTGATCCACTTTCATTGATATTATTAATTATAGTCTTATTGATACTTTCATTGCCTTCATTAATTATTTTTAACTAAAATACATTGATATGATTTGGTAGTATTTTTATATTTGATGATTTTAAATACAATTAAATTATTTTAATTTTTAACAAATAATATATTATTATAATTTTAATTAAATATTATTCAAAAGCTTTGATTTATTTACAAAGATGTGGCTTTTTAATATCTCCATATTTTAATATTCTTATAATAAACCTCTATTATTTCTTTTTTTTTTATTCTTTGCAACATTTTAACTATGATTAAAAGACCCTGAAAAAACCCAAAGAAAGATAATTCTACAGAAACTCAAAGTAAATCCTCTTTTAGAATATAACACAAAATGAATAAAATACAAAATACTACAACTAAATTCTCCAAAATCTGTTATGTAATAGTAAATAATCAATGAATTAATATATATAGATTTATTTTAATATGACAATTTATTACTTTATTTATAAAAAAAGCATTATCATCTGAAACTATTTATTCAAAAAGTAAAATTAAATCTATCTTTACAAAAAGTAATACCAAATCAAGTTCTTCAAAAAACATATTTAGTACTTCTTAGAATAATCATTGAGAAGTTAACAAAGTCCTAATTGAACCAGTAATTTTATAAATTGATTTAACCTCATATGAACAAAAAATGATCACTTGTAAAAAACTAACTAGTGAATTGTTTCATTGGTATTAGATGACAATATACCAGATGTTAATTCATTAGAAGACTATGAAAATTTTTAAGAAATACCAGCAGAAATATACTTTTCCCATGTAAAAGATGCTGGAACTTCTTCTGGTGAAAACGTGCTAGAACCTCTTCTAATGAAAAAGCTGTTAGATATTATTATTGTACTTTATCTGATGAAAAAAATGTTGTATCATATCTTATAACTAAACAGTTTACTTATATAATGCAAATAATTGATAACAAAATTAATTCATTATATCAATTGTGCAGATTTTTAGATACCAAATAACAAAAAAGTTTAAAATTATTAGAAAAGCTTGTAGCAGCTGATGAACTTTTTGAAGAATTTTAGAGTGTAAGTTCTTTAATAAAATAATATTCAATTATTTTGATAATACAATACTTAAAATAATC